CACAAGGCAGCTCAACGCCGCCCTACAGGGTTGCAATGAGTCGGAATCAAGTCCTTGGCAGCGAGTCTGCTGGCCTCTGAGCTTCGGTTGCTATGTTCCTGCGTGGTCAGGCCCTCAAGCTGCAGCGAAAGGGCCCATCAATGGCTGGGACGGGCTCTCGCGCCCTCGACAAAGATGGTGGCATCGGGCGGGACTGTGGGCGCTGCGACGCCGCCTCTGCTGCGCGCGTGCCCTCGCCTAGGATGGCACTCGGTCTCGCGAGACCCGGTCGGAGCCCCTCCTTGTTCTCGAGCTGCCGGTACCTCGCCCGTCCCTGCGCCAAGCTCGCGAGTCGGTTGGCTCCGCCCACGTGCGCCCTCATTGGCCAGACTCAAGCCGGCCGCGGGGCGATTGGCCGAGCGGAGCACACCCTCCCCCCCACCCCTAGGTCCGATGGGGGCCGTTGGTGCTGCCTTGAGGGGCCACCTGGAGGAGGACCTGGCATGTGAAGAGGGTGCGGGGGTCAGGGCAGGGCCCCATGTCGGAGTGGGGGGTGGGGGGTGGGGTTAAGGGACTTGGAAGAACCAAGATGAAGGGCTGGGACTGGGATCCCGGGGTTGGGGGATGGAGCTGGAACTCCAGGATGGAGATTGAGGGTTCCAGGGTTCTGAATGTGGGGTGGGGTTAGGGGGAGGCCCGGGGTCAGGAAACCCAGGGGATGGAGACCTGGGCTGGTGGTTTGAGGACCTACGGATGTAGACCCAGGCCAAGGAGTCCCTGAGGAAGTGGCCAGAACGGGGACCAGGCCAGAGTATAGGGACAGAGAACAGGTCCAGGACTGGATCTAGAATCTAAGCCTGATGCGTGGGCACTCAGAGTGGGGGAGGGGAAGGTCACTTCAGGTTATGAGGGGAGGTGGACACCCTAGGCCTTTGGGAGCTGCCCCAGAGGGTATCGCCTCAGATGGGGGTGTGTCTGGGCAGCCAGCCCTGGGAAGGTGTGTCAGGACAAGCAGGTGGCTGGGTGGGGCACAGGGGAACAAAGGTGAACAGGAAGGAGGAGGTGAGGACAGAGACTGGGCAGAGGGCAGGGGAAGGCCTCTGGGGGGGTGGGGGGAGGCACTTCAGTCCCGGCTCACCCCCTCCCTGGAGAGCAGGTGGCCAGACAATCAGGTTAGTGCACAGGCTTGCATGTGGCCTGGTCGCTCTCTGGCCCCAAGTCTCTCCTGGCTGCAGCCCTTTCTTGGTCTCTCTCTATCCACTCTGCCTGCCTCTTGCCTCTTCTCTTTTCAGCCTCTCTCTTCGTTGCAGCTCTGTACTTGATGTCTTCCTGCCCCTCAGGGAGCCGGTCTCCTAGGTCTCTCCGCTTCCTCTCCAAGTGTCCTAACAGTCGGGTCCTGGCAGGGATATGGTTTATCTTCTTCTCCGTGTGCCTCTGGCTCCCAGGCCTTATTCCTTTTTCAGCCTGGGTCCAAGTCCCTGTCCCGGGTTGCTCCCCACCCGCCTGGTGTTTCTGCGTATGTCTGTGTGTCTTTCTCTCCTTGCCTGGCTCTTTTTGAATGTGCCTCCCTCACCCTCACCCTCACCCCTGCCTGTTTCCTCCTAAAAGACCCTTATCACCATCCCACGCCCTGTAGCTGTTTTCTTCATCTTGGGTTGGACTGGCTGATGAGAATAGAAACCCCAAGAGAGTGGGGATTCTGGTCTGTTTTGTTCCCGGTGGTGTTGGCCGGCCTGACATCCTGACGGTATATCAAGGGGACCGAGTGGCTTGCGGGCAGGGGCTCAGGGGTGAATGAGGGGTTGCTTGCATGTCTGGGACTCTGGCTGCTCCAGGATGCTGGTGCCGTTTTCTCTACAACCCCCATCCCCTGTCTGCCTCTGGTGCCCTTTCACTTGCAGGTGCCCTCTTGTCTTTTCTTGTCCACAGGCCTTATCCTTCCTCTCCCCTTTCCTCCCCACTCCTTGGGGGTCCTGAACTCTGACCCCTGCCCTCCTGCCCCCCCACCCCACCCCTATAGAGGCTGGACCTTTCGCTGACCTGGAACCAGGGCCCTGGGGCCGGGAGTACCCTAGACAGGGCCAAGGGCATGGCCCCACCAGCACCGTCCCTGGCTACCAGCACCCCGATCCTGCATGGGGAGTTCGGCTCCTACCCGGCTCGCGGCCCCCGCTTTGCCCTCACGCTCACACAGCAAGCCCTGCACATCCAGCGGCTGCACCCGAAGCCAGAAGCCCGGCCCCGGGGCGGCCTGGTCCCGCTGTCCGAGGTCTCCGGCTGCTGCACCCTGCGCAGCAGAAGCCCCTCGGACTCCGCGGCCTACTTCTGCATCTATACCTATCCGCGGGCCCGCCGAGGGACCAGGCGCCGAGCCACGCGCACCTTCCGGGCCGATGGGGCGGCTGCCTACGAGGAGAACCGTGCCGAGGCGCAGCGCTGGGCCGCCACCCTCACCTGCCTGCTCCGGGGGCTGCCGCTGCCCAGGGATGGGGGTGAGATGCTGGGCCTCGCCACCCCCAGGGCCCCCTGCCCCCACCCTGCTCTCTACCTCTCTGTGTCCATCCGCGTGGGAGGGCTTGGGCTGGGTCGCTGCTGGGTGAGTGGCACAGACAGCGCTGGCCTCTAGAGAGCAGGTGGTTAAGTAAGCACTGGGACTGCTAGGGAGGTGCCTAGGGAGAAAGCCCTGGCACTCTGCTTCCGAAAGGTCCCATCCTTGCAAACCCTCAGGGGTCCGTGCAGAAGCAACCTACAAAACCAGCACTCTGTGTCTGCTGCCCTCCCTCCACCAGCTCCAGGAGCCTTGAACACAAATGAGTCAGAGGCCACCAGACTGGTTGGGCCACAGGTGTTAGAGGCCCCGCAAGACACCCACTGTGTATCCAGTGGGTTCGGGGAAGGCTTCCTGGCAGAAGTCCCCATCGGGATCCCCACTTGGCACAAGAAGGGAAATAGCCCAGGGTCTCCCTCATGTGGGCCTCAGGACTCATGCCATGGACCGCCGTCCGAGGCCAAGTCACCTCCAGTAGAGCCTCAAGGGGATGGGGACAGACAGGGAGGAGCCTGGCACAGCGGAGGAAAGTGACACGGGGCGAAGGGCACTGGATTTAAGACATTGAGCCTTGCCTGTGTTTCAGCACCTGGGGAGGGGCTGGGGCCTCTTACCTGAGATCTGTCAGGAAGAGGAGGAGGAGGGGGTGCCCTCCGAAGACTCTGGGCATCAGTCCTCACTCCACCTTTTCTCCTCAGAGATCACCCTGGAGATATTGCCTCGGCCGCCACGCTTGCTCCTATTGGTCAATCCTTTCGGGGGGCGTGGCTTGGCCTGGCAGTGGTGTAAGAGCCACGTGCTGCCTATGATTGCTGAAGCGGGACTGTCTTTCAACCTCATTCAGACAGGTGAGGGTGAGAGTGGGGGTGCGGCGGACCGGATGCCTGCACCCTAGGGAGTGACGGAGCGGGCGCCAGGACGCCTGGGTCCTGAAGAGTAGTAAGGGGAGAGGCTATGGGTCCTTAGATGTACTGCATCGTCGGGGACCGGGCTGGGAGGTGGTTATGGGGGTCCCCTGGATCCTGGGAGACGAGTGGGGGGGTGGCAGCGGCAGGATTCCGGGGATCTGAGCTTGGCGCTGCTGACTTCACCTGCGGGCTCCCTGTTAGAGCGGCAGAACCACGCCCGGGAGCTGGTGCAGGGGTTGAGCCTGAGCGAGTGGGACGGCATCATCACGCTCTCGGGGGACGGGCTCCTCTACGAGGTAGGCCAGCGCCCTGCTGCGTGCCCTGCACCCTCGGGGACCCCGGAGGCCAGGACTAGGGCCCAGGCAGCTGGTCTCCCACCCTGCAGGTGCTGAACGGGCTCTTGGCCCGCCCCGACTGGGAGGAGGCCTTGAAGACACCCGTGGGCATCCTCCCGTGTGGCTCCGGCAATGCGCTGGCGGGAGCAGTGAACCAGCATGGCGGGTAGGTCAGGCATGGTCGACAGAGCACCTGCTGTGCCCACGCCCTAGGGCTGCGGTCACGGAGAGGGAGGGATGAGCTCTACTGGGCACAGGATTAGGGACATGGGCCCCGCGGTGGCCCGAGCTGCTAGCCCAAAGTCTATTCGAACCCACATGGGGACGGGAGGGGAGGTGGCGGTGAATAAAGCAGTCCACCCTTGGAGAAATCATAGCCTTGGGGAACCTTGGGGGGGTGGGGGTGGAGTCCTATTCTGTCGCGTGGGTTCTCACTAGAGTTGATGTGAGGCCACCAAACGACGACGCCTCCCACTTTAGCCTCCCCTCTGCCTGCAGAATCCTTTGTTCCTGAACTGTCCCTGGCACACTAGACCCACAGGGTCTGCGGGGGGTGGGGTGGGGGGTGTGTTAAAGAACTAACGGGGGACCTTCTGCAGGACAGCGAGGAGGGAGAGGGGCCTGGGTGGGTGTGGGTGCCCCTCCCCCATCCTCTTACTCACTGACCCCATCGTCTTTCTTCCCCCACCGTCCGGGCCATAAAGGTTCGCGCCGGCCATCGGCCTGGACCTCCTGCTCAACTGCTCGCTGCTCCTGTGCCGGGGTGGCGGCCGTCCGCTAGACCTTCTCTCAGTGACGCTGGCCTCGGGCTCTCGCTGTTTCTCCTTCCTGTCCGTGGCCTGGGGCTTCGTGTCGGACGTGGACATCCAGAGCGAGCGCTTCAGGGCCCTGGGTAGCGCCCGCTTCACCTTGGGCACGGTGGTGGGCCTCGCCACGCTGCACACCTACCGCGGACGCCTCTCCTACCTCCCCGCCACCGCCACCGGGGAGCCCGCCTCGCCCAGGCCTGGGTCCGCCCACAGCCTGCCCCGTGCCAAGTCGGAGCTGACCCTGACCCCAGAACCAGCTCCACCTGCAACCCACTCCCCCCTGCACCGCTCTGTGTCCGACTTGCCCCTGCCCCTACCTGCCTTGGCCTCCCCTGGCTCACCTGAACCCCTGCCGGTGCTGTCCCTCAACGGTGGCGGCCCGGAGTTGGCTGGGGACTGGGGCGGGGCTGAGGATGCCCCGCTGTCGCCAGACCCGCTGCTGCCTTCTCCCCCTTGCTCCCCGAGAGCTGTCCTCTCACCCATCACCAAGGAGCCCTCGGAAATGCCAGCGCCCCCTGGGCTCCCGCCTCCCTGCCCCGATGGTCCTGAAATTGCCTCCAACTGGGGCCCGCCCGACCACCTCTTGCCGCCTCTGGGTGCCCCCCTGCCCACGGGCTGGGTGACGATGGAGGAGGACTTTGTGCTCATGTTGGCCATCTCGCCCAGCCACCTGGGGGCGGACATGGTGGCAGCCCCGCACGCCCGATTTGATGACGGCCTGGTGCACCTGTGCTGGGTGCGGGGCGGTATCTCACGGGCCACCCTGCTGCGCATTTTCCTGGCCATGGAGCGGGGTAGCCACTTTGGCCTGGGCTGCCCCCAGCTGGGCTACGCCGCGGTGCGTGCCTTCCGCCTAGAGCCGCTCACACCCCGCGGTGTGCTCACGGTGGACGGGGAGGTGGTGGAGTACGGGCCGGTACAGGCGCAGGTGCACCCGGGCCTCGCGACACTCCTCACTGGGCCGCCCGGGCTCCTGGGGCCGGAGCCCTGAGGCTAGCCCACCGCCTGGAGCCCGCCGAGGGCGGGGCTTACATTCCAATGGGCGGAGCCCGAGGTGGCGGAAAGCCCCAGTGCCCTGCCCGGCCTGTCTCAGGGTTGCACCCGCCCCCTGGTGATTGGACCGGGAGCTAGACGGTGGCCTGAATCCCAGGGGCGGGCACGCAGTTGACAGGTAAAATGAGCGCTGCGTGAGAGTAGTGCCTGATCGACGAGGGCGGGGCATGGCGTATGCGCTCCGCAGGGGGCGTGGCTCTGACCAGACCCTCCCCTCCGCTTCCGGCTTGGAGACCAGGTCGACTGAGGGCGGAGCCGAGCTAGCGCATCGCCCAATGACAGGATCTGGAAGACCGGGGCCGAGGGCGGCCGTCATTGGCCCGTCAGGGCCGAGATCTTGCCCCATCCACTCCGGTGCCTCCACTTCCACGGCCTACCGGTCCTGGAGGGGCAGGTTTCCCGCGCTCCTATTTGCACTAAGGTTTCCGACCCTGCCCCCGCCGGTGCGGGCGGGGAAGCTCCGTCTGTCTGTCTGCTGTGCGCCCTGGTACTTGACCCCAGTCTTCAAAGCAATTGAAAAGGTCTATGCAATAAAGGCGCTCGCTTCATTCCCCTCGGACCTTCGCCCCTTCCTCCACCAGCGGCCCGTGGGGAGGGTCCAACACCAGCACTCACACGGCTCCGCTGGCCACCCGACCGGCCTGACCCACTGGTTCCGAGTCGGAACCTGGGAGCTGCCTCCTCCCCCACGACAGCTAGCTCCGAGTTCTCAAGATTTATTCAGGATCGTGTTAACGGAGGCGGTGGGAGGCTGGGGTCCCCGGCTGGCCCAGGGGCACACACACAGCACCCTCCCCACCCCCACGAGGGAGTGGGGGAGGCTCACTTTTTCTTAAAAATATAAATGTATTTGTCTGCATTGTCCCTTCGTCCCTGGGGCACCCAGCTCACCGGCCCCCGGGCCACAGGGCAGGGGGGGAGGAGGGCGTCAGGCGCAAGTCTGAGAGGCGGAGGTGTGCCCCACCGAGCGGGGGGCGGCCTCACAGGGCCCCGTGCTGGGCCTGGTAGCGGGACAACACGGCGCGGTAGTGGGACAGCTCCTGGCGCACGGCCACCACTTCCTGCCGTAAGAGGGCGTTCTCCTTCTCCAGGAAGGCCGCCCGCACCGAGATCTGGTTCTCCTTGAGCCGCCGGGCATCGCGGGACCGCTTGGCCGCCTCGTTGTTCTTGTACCGCCGGCTCCAGTACTTCTCATCCTGCGGGAATCGCAGTGTATTTTAAAAGACCCCCCAGCCCACTCCTAGGGCTTCTAGCCCAGCAAGGGTCCGTAAGAGATACCCAAAGGTCTGTCACCAAGGGAAGCAGGGCCCTGTCAACAAGCTGGAAAAACCCACTGACACCCAGTTGATTCCAACTCATAGAAACCCTATCGGGCTGGGTAGAACTACCCATGTGAGTTTCCAAAAGGGTCACTCCTTCGTTATGGGAGTCAAAAGCCTCATCTTTCTACTGCGGAGCAGCTGGTGGTTTCTAACCGCCGACTTTGCAGTTAGCAAGCCCGATCGGTAACCCCTGCACCTATGTCACCCCCGTGCAAAGTATCAAGTTTTCAAGGTACCCGTGGAACACATACCCTTTGACAAAGGACCTGCAGCTAGAGCCTGTTTCTAAGGATGCTTGCTCCCTAGCAACAGATTTAAAAAAAACGCTGCCCTATGCATCACATAAGGGAGCACCTATGTCACTGTCAGGTAAGCAAATGCTGGACAGCTAACCACAAGGTCGGACATCCAACACACAGCTGGTTCTGTGGGAGAAAGATGAGATGCCTGCTTCTGGGAAGTGGCCCAGCCTCAGAAACCCTGTCTGGGGTTGCTATGAGTCACCATGGACTTGATGATGGCAGTGGGTTTATCCAGTACTTAAGGAGCCCTGGTGGCACCATGGGTTGGGCATTGGACTGCCAACTGTAGTCCAACGGTTCAAATCCACCAGCCACTCCAAAGGAGAAATATGAGGCGACCCACTTCCACAAAAATTTCATCTGGGAAACCCTATATATGTACTCTGAGTCAGAGCCCCCCGGGCAGCAGCAGTGGGCTTTGTGTGGGAACGAGTGGAAATGGACCTGATGCTATGGGTTTGGCGTTTCCTGTCTTTTTGGTATATGTCACTTAAGAGCCTTCAGGTGCCCTGCTGGCACTGTGGTTCCATGTGATGCTGTTGACCACAAGGTCGGCAGTTTGAAAATACCAGCCACTTGGAGGGAGCGACAAAGCGTTCTACTCCCTACTACTGTAAAGCGTTGTACTCACAGGGGCAGGTCTACCCTGTCCTATGAATCAGAATCTACTTCATGGCAGTGAGGGTGGCTTGGGGTTTTGATGGTGCAGTGGTTAAGAGCTCATCTGGGAATCCAAAGGTCAGCAGTTCAAGCCCATCAACTGCTCTGCTGGGAGAAAGATGAAGTAGCCTGTTTCCCTTCCTCTATTGGGAGAAAGATTTACAACCCTCCGGGACAGTTATGCTCGGCCCTACAGGGTCACTGAGTCAGAACAGATGTGCAGACTAGGAGTTTGGTTTGGGCTTGCTAAGGCAGGCTAGGTCCCCCTGGAGGTGGGGTGTGGAGTTCCACAAAACTCAGAGCTGGGCTTCTTTCGACCTTGGTTGCCAAGGCAACCACATCCTTGTCCTCAGCAAACAAAAGGTAAGGCCTAAGTGGTCCCACTGCTGGCCGCCTGTCTCTGACCCGCTGGCCTTGAACTGGGGCCAGGGATTTGCCTCTTCCCCTTAGGCCCTGGTTGCTAGACTAGTTAGCTCTTAGCAACGGAGTCCAGAGGGAGACCTCCACTTGCTCACCACTAGGCTGAGAGATTTGATTGCCGAGGAGGACCACTCCTTAGCAACAAGGCCCACCCAGCTCATAATCCTTCTCATCCCCGGCCACCCCAATTGAAATAAAGCCCAGTTCTGGGTTGCCAGGGAAAATCCACTCCCTAGTAACAGCAGCTCAGGAGAAAGGACTAGCTTTGGAGAGTGCCTCTCCTGCACCAGCCTGGCAGGGTCTTCGGAGGGACGCCCAAGTGTCTCTCCCCAGGGGAGACCCAAAAACGGCAGAGACATCGCTGGAAGGGTGCTGGATTGATCACTGCCCCAATTCAGCTGCCTTCGGGTTGATTGCAAATGCCTGCCAGAACAGAACTGTGCTCCAGAATAGAGGTTTTAATGGCCGAATCCTAAAGAGGGTGAGGGGGGGAGGGAAGGGGGACAGCAAAAGGTGGCACTGGGCAGATCAGATCCTCAACCTTTCTGTCAGCGGGTAGGCTTATTAACTCTACCACCCAGGGGCTTGCAGCTACTGCCCAAGGGGCCCCTAATCAGAATGAGGCCCAGGGCCTTCTGGCCCTTGAGAAGTCCGGCCCCCAGTCCAGCATGCTTCAAGGGACTGGCAAAGGCTGCTGGGTAGGGAGAGGTGGCTGTTCCAAAGGCCCAACCCCAGCCTGGACTGTGGCTAAGGAGAGGCATACAGCAACCCTGCTGCTGAGGAAGGCTGTCTTTAGCAACTGGGGCCAGGCACAGTGAGATGCTTGCCCCTTGCAGGCTCTTGGGCCCAAACTGCGACATGCTCCCTGCCCATAGAACTCAGTCTGCATCTCACTATGATAAATAATAATAATAAAAACAGCTGCCGTAGAATTGATTCTGACTCACGGAGACCTTGTTGCAGGGTAGACTAGCACTCCTTAGGGTTTTCAAATCGGTGACTTTTTGGAGCCCTTTCTCCCATGGGACCTCAGGAATGGCTCACACAGCCAGCCTTTGGCTTAGCAGCCGGAGCACTTCACCAGCTGCACCACCCAGGGATTCCCCTCTCCCCCATGACCTGTCTTCATCCATCTCAGGCCACAACGCCTGCCTCCTTGAGACTCCTGGCGAAGCCCTCATCTTTGGCTGCACATCGGGAGAACCTTCTAGAGAGGGGTCTATGAGAAGCCCTGATGGGTGCCACCTTCGGCTGTGCTCACCTTCTGCTCCTCTGGCACCTGGTTCTTCCGAGCCTTCTTCATGATGGGCTGGGGCTTCAGCTCCTCCTCTGAGAAGCGGTGTCGCCGAGGGTCAAAGGTTTCATGGCCAGGAATGCTGGACAGGGCTAGATCCGCAGGGTCAGGTTCAAAGGTCATCAGCACCTCCACGGTGTCTGGGTCCACAGGGCTAGGCGTGTCCCGGGAGCTCGGGTCTTGAGGAAATACAATGTATCACCTGAGTAAGAGTTCACTCTGGGGAGGGGGGTCACTGGTGTCTCCAGCATCTACCTCCCCTGCTCAGGTGTCATATCCACCCACCATTTAACCACAAGCAAAATCCTTCCTGAGTCTAACATAAAACCTACCAGGGATTAAGTTCCCTCATAAAATATGAAAGGCTCCTAAACTACAAAGATGTTCAGAAATCACGGAGCGACCTCCACTCTCATACGCCAGGGCAACCCAGAGCTGGGCAAGGCTGATTTGCACCAAAGAGCCCCATAGACTAGATCCCTAGTCTAGCTGAATCCTCTTTATACTGCAACCCGGACCGCTGCCTAGAACCCAGTGTTCAGGTGAAAAGAATCTACAACACTGAAAAAACCTCAAGTTAGTCAGAGCTACTGGTTTCAGAGGATTAAAGAGCAGAAGAGCCTCGCCTCTGGGCTTCTAGAAGGTTGGGTGTGCTTGTCTCTTTAAGAGAGAGCAAGCGGGGCCAGCTGAGGACACAGGTTGGGGCAAGTCACGTGCTGGAGCCTGCTTCTCACCCCTCCTCACTACCCTCCCCACAGGCGCCCTCACGTTCCTCAGGCCCCGCCCCTCCCGCGTGACCACGCGTGCGCAGAGCTCGGAGGGGAGAGGGGAGGACTCACGTGGCGCGGGAATGTGCGACTGAGAAGGGGAGGGGCCTGGTTATGCCGGGAGGTGGGGCAAGGGACAGGTGTGCCCAACAATGCCAGGCTTGCAGCTGGAGCCTGCAGACCCCAAGGCTAAATTTTCTTTCTCCCTCCTGGTCCTTTTTAAACTCCAAGGATCTTGCTCTCTGAGCAACACAGAACCACCCTTCCTCCACCTTCTCCCTGGAACCTGAGTCCCCAGGCCACTGGAGTACCCATGATCCTGCGACCCCAGACCCTTGATCTGGCAGGAATCTAGGAGTCAGGTGGGGCAAGGTTCCACTGTTGGGAGGCCCTACATCCAAGATCCCCAGTCTCCTCCCTTCTGAATGCTTCAGGATCCAGCTCTACAGCTCTGATCGTCATGGGTGAAAGGTGGGCGGGGTGGGTGCAGGGCCTGGGGTTGTACCTCTCTCATCCTGGAGAACTAGAAGTCTGTGCTCAGCCCTCACCGTTATCCTAGCTGCAGGACTAGTCCCACAGAGTCTAGGGCCCACCTCCCTCCTGGCCCAGCCTCCATGAGTTTCCTGATCCTTGGTCCCCACGTCTCCTAGAAACGTCCACAGTCTCTCCCCAGTGGGCAGGCGTCCTGGCATGCAGGGTCCCAAGCCCGTCCTCCTCCTAGTCTACAGTTGGTAAGTGCCCACTGAGTCGGTTCCGACTCATGGCAACCCAATGTCTAACAGAACAAACACCAGCCGGTCCTGCACCATCCTCGGTCATTACTGTCATGGCTGTGTTTCCGCCTCGGGCTACAGCCGCTGTGTCCATCCATTTCCTGAGCGCCTTCCTCCTTTCTCGCTCACCCTCGACCAAACACGATGCCCTTCCGCCCTTCTCCAGGAACTAGTGCCTCGTGAGACAGAATATGTCCCCTCAGGCAACATCTTTAAATTAACCCAAAAAACCCGTTGCCCGGCAGTGGACTCAAAACAGCAAACCCACAGGGCAGAGTAGAACTGCCCCCCACCCCACCCCCCGCCCCTGGACAGGGCAGTTTCCAAGGCTGTCGGAGGCCGACTGCCTCATCTTTCTTCCAGCAGAGAAGCTGGTCGGTTCAAACAGCTGACCTTCCGGTTAACAGAAGAGCTTTTTAAGCACGGCACGCACAAAGTTCCTGCCTTTCAACTAGGAGACCCCCAACTTCAGCGAACTGCCCAGCCTCACCGCCCCGCCCCCGGGAGTCCAAGCCCCGCCCACCCGTCCCGCCGCACCTGCGCGGTGGCCGCCCGCGGCCCCGAGGGCAGCCCGGGCGGGGGCGTGCCCGGGCGAGGAGCGGGGGGAGGCTGAGCCGCAGGAGCCAGGTCCCGGGGAGGGCGCCGGGGTGCACGCGGGCGAGGGTGCCGGGGACGAGCCCCCTGGAGGCGGCGGACTGGGCGGGAGCCCGTGCTCCAGCAGGAAGGCGTCCAGGTCCACGTACTCCACGTCGCCAAACGGCAGCGTCCGCTCCCACAGCAGCGGCGCCAAGAGACTCGGGCCAGGCCCGGCCCCCGGGCGCCCCCGCGGGGATCCGCCGCCCACCGCCGCCCCAGCCGGGGCATCCGCCGGGCCCGCGGGCTCCAGGCCCGGCCCGGGGACCGTGGCCGCCGGCGGCGCCGCCTTGCGCTCCTTTTCCTTCAGGAGACCTGAGGGCCAGGGAAAGACGGGACCGGGTGGAGGACGGCAGAGAACGAGAAGACACCGCGAGCCCAGAGAAGCGGGCGGCCATGGCGACCCGCAGCATGGACATAGAGGGATCCAGAAACCGAGTGGACGAGCCGAGGGGGCAGGGAACGGAGGAAGGGCAAAGACCAAGAGAGGAGGGGACAGAGATTCAGAGAAGAGGGCAGACACCCAGAGGGAGAGGACAGAGACAGAGGGAGACAGACCAAAAGAGGGTGGGGCAGATTAAAAAAAAAAAAGCGGGGGGGAGGAGGGTGGAGAGACAGATGTGGACAGATAACGCGAAGAGGAGGCACAAAAAGACCCCGAGAATAGGGGACAGGAGTCCAGGAGAGGGTCACAAGACAGGGTAGGCAGAGGGGTGGGCAGGTGGAGAGAGAGGTAAAAATGACAGCTCTGTCAAGGCCTCCGAAATCCCCCACCCCACCCCTACGCAGTTCTCCTCCCTCCCCCACACTCTGGAAGGGGCAGGAAAGGGGCTCGGTTCCCCGGGCACATTCCTCATCCTAGGCCCCATGTGACCCCTGGAGGCCCCGCCCAAGCCCGTGTTACCTCCGTGTGAGCACCCGACACACCCCCTCCCTCCTCCCAGGACCCCAGGGGTCCAGACTCCCGGAATCCAAAGAGGGGGGGCTAAGACCCAGCAATGCTGGAACCTCGGGACAGACCGTCCCAAGAGCTAAGGGATCTAGGGGCGTAAACACCTGGGTAGCTGAGTGCCTAAAGGCTGGGAGAATTGCTCCCGAGTCCCTAAGGGGGCTCTGAGTTGGGGAAGGTGGGGGCTGGAACTCACAGCTGGCCGGCTCTTTGGGCTTACTGGTCCCTTGCAGAAGGCTTCGCAGCCCAAGCAGTGCACCCCCGCCAGGGGGGGCCCCGGCCGGGCCGCCCAGCAGCAGGGGGGCCAGGGTCCGGTCGCTCGCGGGCCGCGCCATCGCCGGGCACCTGCCCCCAGGCTCACAGGCTCATGGAGAGGCGAAGAGCTGGCCTGCCAGTCAGCAGCACACTCCCGTGATTCGAGCGGGTGCCTGCCCAGGGGCTGGCGAGTGTAGCTTGCAAGCCTTCCAGTATCCAGAACACTGCAAATCCTAGGGGCAACGCGGATTCGCGGTCCTCCGTGCAGAAACGTGCAACTCAAGAGGGTCCCCGGAGACCATGCAGTCTGGGCGAAGGGGTGACCAAAGCGGGCAGTTGGCTCTTTGCAGCTGGGGGTGCGAAGGGGACACAAGGCGCTCCTGCAAGGTGGGCGAGCCTGGCTCTTGCAAAATCTGCAGCTCTCCAACGGAAGGCGCTTTGCAATCTGCACCAAGAGGTGTGCGCCGAGGGGCGGGGGAGGGGGGCAGGAGGAGACACCCGCCTTGAGGCGGGGCCAAAGCAAACTTCTTTCGCGGAAAAAAAAAAGCCAAACCAAAACACCCGACGCCACAGCGCGGGCCCCTCCTCCCGGCCCCCGCCCGCCCCTAGCCACGTGCTTTCATCCGGCTGCAAAAGGGAGCCAATCGCGTCTCGCTCTCTGGAGGCTACGGCCAATGGGACGACTTACGTCTGCCAAGCCTGGGGCGGGGCAGCGGGGAGCGTGAGGAGCTCTGCGCGTGAAGTTGCCTTGCCTTCTGGAAGGAGGCGGGACCCTGACCTATATTTGCCCAATGGGAGGAGGCTCTGGGGGCGGGACCGTGACCCAGTTCAGACCAATGAGGCAGGCGAGTGGGGGAAGCACGTGGCTCCGCGCGTGCTACTGGAGGGTGGGGAGAGGGATATTATGAGGGAGGGCAATGGAAAGGGGGTGGGGGGGGAACAGAAGACGTCGCTTAAAGGAGCCGCTGGCCCAAATGATTATTTTGGAAAACTGAAAGTCGACTTGTGTGGGTTTAGGAAGAGAAAGCGATTGGTTTCTCGAAGAAAACGGTTGCTTAATACCCCAAATGCGCCATTGTGCCTAGAATCAGACAACTGAGAAACAGGAAACATTCTATCCCTTTAATAGCTTTGCTTTTGGAGGGGCGACTCTCCTCCCCTAGAAGGTAGGCTTAGGGCGGGCAGGCACAGTCCTGGCCGGGGCGTCTCAGCGGCCGTGGGGGGCACCATCCACTGAAAGACAGAGGAGACCGTTATCAGGCAGAGGCGTTAGTTTAAGGCACACAAAAAAGGAGCAGGCTAGGGCCTGGGGCAAGGCCGCGCCGGATTGTACCACGGCGTTTTCGAAGGGGGAGCCGGAATGTACCACATTGTGACGCTCCGGGGGCTGGACCAGCCTTGGGCTAAACCAAGTGGAGGAGGCAGGAGGGTGGGATGGGGACGTCCCGTTTCGGCCCTAGGTTGAACTAAGTGAAGATCTTGGGACGGAGTCTGGGCTGTACCACGACGATAAACCAGGGGTGACCCTTTGCTCCCAGAGATAAACCACCGGAAAACAGGAGGAAGGGAGGGGGGCAGGATTGTACCAAGTTGAGTCTCGATTCGGTTTATACCACATGTTGTTAAACCAGAGGGCTGGTCGTTAATTGTGCTAGGAGAGGAAGCCAGCTCGGGTTCTAGACTTCCAAATTGATGGGCGGAAAGACAAATCATGGACCACCCAGGGTCGGAGGCGGGGACGTGGGCCGTACCAAGTTGAGCTAGAGGTGGGCCCTACAGTGATAGTCAAGGGGAGGGTAGGACCGTGCCACATTGGGAGGGAGGGGGGACATAGGTGGGCTAGACCAAGAGGTGGAGGGGGGGGTACAGACTGGACCATACCATGCAGGCGGTAGTTGGGGCCTCGGCACCGCCTCTCGGGGTGCCGGGGGTCCCTGTTGCCCCTCAAGGCCCTGTGAGCCAAGGGCTGCAGAGGCCGGCCATTACCGCTGAGGCTCTGGAAGATCTGCGATGGTGGATTCTGGCTCAGAAGTCTCAGGGAATGCATCTGCCAGGGGAGGGAGCGAGGGAAACTGTGGGACTAGAGAAATCAGCCAAGTGACATCACATGTCCCGCTTCCACGGCAGCCAGCGCACCTTCCAAAGGCCCTCCCTCTAGCCTGCTTGGCTACCTTGTCAACAAGAGGAAGCGAACCCTGCTAAGGGAAGACCTGAGGGGGTCCCCAAGGATCTTGGTGGCGCTGTTGGCTTAGGTCAGGGTCTGCACATGGCAAATTTTGTGGTTCAAACCCACCAGCCGCTCCGCGGTAGAAAAATGAGGCTGACCGAGCCCATAAAGATGTACAGTCTTGGAAGCCCTATACAAAGTGACTGCGAGTTGGACTTGGATGGATGGATGGATGGATGGATGGATGGATGGATGGATGTGGTTTGAGGGATCACCTGGAGGGAGGTGATATTGAGGGCGCGGTCGATCAGAATCCAGGTGACAGTCTCTGAGCAGGGCGGGGTGCTGAGGGAACCCTGGTAGGTGACAAAGCCGAAGGACTCAGGGAATAAGAGCTCCAGACTCAGGTCTTGAAGGAAGTAAGCGTCATCTGCAGGGACACCACCCAGCCACCCAGCGTGAGGCCAGGTGCTCCACTTGGATGCCCTGCCCCTCTTGGGGGAGTTTCACCTTCCCTCCCCACCCTCACCCCCATCACAGTGGGTTGAGACTTACTCTTGTAGGAAATTCGAGTGATGGTATCACGGCTAAGGAGGCGGCTGAGGAAAGAGTTTGAGCTGCCAGCCACCTGTGCGGGGTGGTGGGGTGGGACCCACAGAAGTTCAGATGTCAAGCCCTTAGACCCTCTCCTCCCTCCAGCACCCAGGAATCTAAACCGTCAGTCTTCCCTCCTCCCTCCAAAGGCCCCCAGAATGCAGGCGACCAGCCCCCTTTGCTCCCTGGGAAGCTTGCCTGACTCACGTTAACAAAGAAGCTGAGAATGGCCAGGCCGTTGGGGCTGCGGGAGGCCGCACTGAGGTTCCCATAAAGTTCCTGATTGAAGTGGATGAGCTGCACCTGGGTGAGGGAACAAGCGCATGGGGGTCGGGCCCTCCAGCCCCCCAAGCAGGAGGAGAGAGGAGGAGGTTCCCAGGGCCCAAGTGTGGGTGGGGGTCAGTGCTCAGAAGAGGAAATGGGTTCTGTGCAAAAAGAAGGGGCCAGGCAATGGAAGAGGGGGAAGTGGGAGGAACTGAGTCATAAGGTCAGACCCAGGGCCAAGAGTCAGAGGTCAGTAGCCCTCACCTCTGCAGAGAAGCCCTGGTGGTTGATCTGGTGCTCGGATCCGGCTCCATCCCGTGCTCCAAACAGCAGTCGCAGTTCACTGAGTCGATGGCTGTAGAGCAGGGGACCCCCAGACACATTGACCACTGGCCGGGGTGCAGGCAGGAAAGAGACATGGCGGCCCGTGTTATACAGGGTCCCCCGGAGCTTCGAGAGAGGCACAAGGTGTGAGAAGAAACAGAGTCATCTTTTCTGGCCTATTTTCCCCCTCCAGCATTAACCTTAAACCGTTCCCCACAATCTTCTAGTCACCCAACGTAGTTTGAACATCAACTACGTGCCAGATTCTGTGCTGGCCTCTGGTAAGCAGAAAACGCACTGCTCTCTCCAACTCATAATGACCCCATTAAAAAGCCAAAAAAACCCAAACTCACTGCCATCACATCGACTATGACTCCTAGCGACCCCAGGGGTCAGGGGAGAACTGCCCCTGTGGCTTTCCAAGGCTGAAACTCATGATGGGAGTAGACAGCCTCTTCTTTCTTTCACAGGGTGGCTGGTGGTTTCAAACTGCTGACCTTGTGGTTAGTAGCCCAACACATAACCACTGTGCCACCAGGGCTCTTTCAAAACTGGTTGGATTCCTGTCGTGTGTGTTGACATTTGAACGGTGGTGTGAAGCATGAGGAGGGGTTAGATGCAAAAAACAGGGGGACGTTCCAGGAAGAGAACTGAGCAAGTGCAAAGGCCCTGAGGCGACCTGTTTCAGGGAAAGTCAAGGGGCCAGTGGGGACAGGACCCCAGTGAACAAAGGAGAGAATGGACTGGGACCCTGATCATGGCGGACCTTGTGGGCAGGGGTGGGGAGTTTCCTATTCTTATTGAAAAGAAGGAACGGAGGATAGGTGCTATAGAAGTGTGCTGCGATGACTGCCCCGCTAGATGAGTGATCTGATCTGATGTGTGTTTTTCAGCCATCTCTGGCTGTGATGTGGAAAATGGCTGGTAGAAGGTAAGCAGACAGACCAGCAAGGAATCGAACAGAAGCTAGAAAAAGTGGGATCTCCAGGAACACAATTGAATGGTGTTTAGTGGGGAGACCAGGAAGGGTGGGCTTGGGAATGAGGAGGGGAGATGGAATCAGGAATGGGTCGAAGGAAAGGGTGGTGAGCTCTTATTAGAAAAGGCATTGCCCAGTGGATAAGGAAATGCCCCCCCTGGGAACTCACTTCCTGGTTTGGAACCCCAATGCTAGCCTTCTAGCTGTGTGACCCCAGGCAAGTATGCCAACCTCTCTGTGCTTCAGTGTTCAGCATCCACGGAAGAATACCTGGCGTAGGTCTCTCACTGGGCTTGTGATGCTTTTAAAAGCAGTGTCTGCTTCTACAGTGATGGAAGTTCTGGGGGGTATGTTTGGAGAGGGAAGAACAGGTAAGAGCTTTTCTTTAGAGTGTAGGGGTTGGGGCTTGTTTTCTCCCCAAGGCTGCCTCCTGCTTCTTGGTGCTGACCTCCCATCTCAGCAGCCCACCCACCCCACCCCCAGCATTTGTAATCCAGACCCCGTACCTTCTCGCCCCCAGTGCTCAGCCTCAGCGGGGGCAGAAAGGGATCGTAAAGGGCTCTCTTGAGCTCCACATCCACGGGGCTCTGCCGCTTCCCCACGGCACACAAACTCCAGGCTGCATTCACCAGGCCCCAGAAGGGAGGCCCTGGGGGCAGGGGGTTCAGAGAAGGAGGAGTCAGAAATGAGGGCGGGGTCCCAATGCTGGGATTTAGTGAGAGAGGTCCTATGGTCTGGACTCCTGGATCTCAGTGGGGGTGGAGTGGATGGGGGTCTGGACTCCTGGATCTCGGTGGGGTGGAGTGGATGGGGGTCTGGACTCCTGGTTTGAGGACAGAAGTGGCTGGGGTCCAGAATGCTGGGTTCTAGAAGAATCTGGGAGTCGTTTCCTAAAACCGCCGCCACCCCCCCGCCCATCCCCACTCCCAACAGCTCCAACCTCTCCTGGATCCACTCCCATCTTAAAATTATGTCATTATGGGAAAGAACTACAACTCCCATAAGCCCCCGGGGTTTGCCAGCCTACCCATCCGCTGCCTGCCTGTCCAAGCGCCCCATGGGAGTTGTAGTTCTTTCAGCCTCCCTTGTCCCACAGCTGGAAAATGACTGTATTGGGGAGAAGAGGTTGCAGGAGAGTCTGGACAAGGTGGGAGCGGGCGGGGGGCGGGGGGCCTCTGAACCTCCGGTTCCCAGAAGAAGCCAGGACCCGCCTCTTTCCCAGCGAACACACACTCTCTTCCACCCCCACACTTTCCTTCCACTCACTCCCACTCGCTACTTGAAATGCGCATGTATAATGTCCCACGGTGAGCCCCGGGGATTCGGAGGCTGGGCCCCCACTCCAGAGCGAGCGAGCGAGGGAGGGAGGGACGGGAGAGGGGGCTGGGACTCCTGGGTCTTGGGGAAAGAGTGGGGGCTGGGGGCTGAGATTGCTGGGGCCGGAGAAGGAGGTGCTTGAGGGCGGGGGCCCGGACGCCTGGGTCCCCGCCCTGGTTGCACCTGGCACGAAGTTTCCCTGGAGATTATCCTTGTAGCTCCACCAGTCCTCTGGGTCAGGTGCTGGTCCGATGTGAGCTGGGGAGAGAGCAGCCTGAACCCCTCTCTTGGACCCGCCCTCCCACCCCCCAACAGCCCGGGTCCCCGGTCTTACCTGCCGCCCCCAGTGCGGCCCAGAGTACCAGCGCTCGAGGGGCGCTCAGACGAGCGGCACCTCCCATCCCCGGGAGGCCTTGAAGGAGAGACCCCTTCCCAGAACCCTTACCCCCTCACCTTGAGCTGCTGCCTCCCCTCTTCCTGGGACCCTCTTGCTCCAGAACTTCCAACCACTCTCCTCTCCTCCCAGCTCCCCAACCCCAAAACGGCTGGGGAAAGAGACTCCCCCAAGCCCACTCCTCCCCTGGCCTCTCCTCTATCCTTCCAACTCCCCCACCTCTTCCAGATCTGCCTCTCCCAGGATTACCTGGGGGAGGTGGGGGTTGAGTCCACACCCCCTCCTGGTTCTCTTTTCATGAAACTCCAAGCCACCTAACCCCAGGTATCCATCAGCTCCCCACCTCTCTCTCCCTTCTCTCCCTCCTCACCTCCTCCCTGCCTCTCCCCTTCCTGCCCGTCTCCGGCTTCCCTCTCTCTCCCCACCTCCTCCACTCCTGCCTCCTCGTTTTCCCTGCCTCTTCTCTCTCGGCCCTTCCTCCCTCCTCCCCCTCCCTGGCTGCTCTCTCTGGGTGTTATTTAATTATTTTTTTCCGCGGGGGGCGGGGGGGATGG